AGAATGAGAAAAATACATTTATAATGTAGGATATGTGTGCCATATAGCCCTGGCAGTTCGTAAAGTACAAGACCACCCATCTCAACCTAAGTACTTGGCCAATTTTAATAATGTCAGTTTCAAGTTATTTAGCTACAATTTCCAAATGATTCCTTTTTTTTGGATTGGTGATAAACAGAATGAATTTTATCCAGAATTTTCTTTTTTTTTTTTTTTTTTGAGAGTTTCGCTCTTGTTGGCCAGGCTACAGTGCAATGGTGTGATCTCAGCTCACTGCAACCTCTGCCTCCCAGGTTCAAGCAATTCTCCTGCCTCAGCCTCCTGAGTAACTGGAATTACAGATGCCTGCCACCACGTCCAGCTAACTTTTGCATTTTTAGTAGAGACGGGGTTTCACCATGTTAGCCAAGCTGGTTTTGAATTCCTAACCTCAAGTGATCCGACTGCCTCAGGCTTCCAGAGTGATGAAATTATAGGCATGAACCACCATATCCAGCCTATCCAGAATATTTTTAAATGACTGACTTGTTTTACTTCAGATATTGAATTATAATTGGTAACAGAGCCAAATAATGACCTTGGGAAAATTTTGTTTCTTTTCTTTTTTTTTGATTTTGTTTTTTTGTTTTTTTTTTTTTTGAGACGGAGTTTCGCTCTTGTTGCCCAGGCTGGAGTGCAATGGCGTGATCTCGGCTCACTGCAACCTCCGCCTCCTGGGTTCAGGCAATTCTCCTGCCTCAGCCTCCTGAGTAGCTGGGATTACAGGCATGCGCCACCACGCCCAGCTGATTTTTTTTGTATTTTTAGTAGAGACGGGGTTTCACCATGCTGACCAGGATGGTCTTGATCTCTTGACCTCATGACCCACCCGCCTCGGCCTCCCAAAGTGCTGGGATTACAGGCGTGAGCCACCGCGCCCGGCGTCTTTTCTTTTTTTTTTTGAGACAAAGTTTCATTCTTGTTGCCCAGGCTGGAGTGCAATGGCTTGATCTCGGCTCACTGCAACCTCCACCTCCCTGGGTCAAGAGATTCTCCTGTCTCAGCCTTCCAAGTAGCTGGAATTACAGGCACCCGTCACTATGCCTGGCTAATTTTTGTACTTTTAGTAGAGATGGGGTTTCACCATGTTGGCCAGGCTGGTCTCAAATTCCTGACCTCAGGTGATCCACCCGCCTTGGCCTCCCAAAGTACTGCGATTACAGGTGTGAGCCACCTCACCTGGCAGGACATTTTTCTAATAAATCTGTAGCCATTCCAGTCTTCCTTCTTATTATTGTAAAAGTGCCATTATAATAAAATACAGTTTATTTTCAACTATTCATTAAATTTCAAATAATTCATTACTGAAGCCACATTTAAAGTTGATAATATTGGCTGGGCACTGCGGCACACACCTGTAATCCCTGCACTTTGGGAGGCCAAGGGGGGTGGATCACTTGAAGTCAGGAGATGGAGACCATCTCTATTAAATGGTGAAACCCATCTCTATTAAAGATACAAAAATTACCCAGGTGTGGCAGCATACATCTATAATCTCAGCTACTTGGCTGAGGCAGGAAAATTGCTTGAACCTGGGGGGCAGAGGTTACAGTGAGCTTACATCAAGCCACTGCACTCCAGCCTGAGGGACAGAGCGAGAGTCTGCCTCAAAAGAAAAAAAAAAAGGTAGACAATAATGTAGTAGAAATATAATCTGTGTGAAAGACACTAATTCTTTTTTTTTTTTAGAGGAAGCTTTGGACCTGGACATGATTGCAACCACGCCTCCTGAGTTCAAGTGATTCTCCTGCCTCAGCCTCCTGAGTAGCTGGGATTACAGGTGTCTGCCACCACGCCTGGCTAATTTTTATGTTTTTAGTAGAGAAGGGGTTTCACCATATTGGTCAAGCTGGTCTTGAGCTCCTGATCTCTCAATCTGCTTACCTCAGCCTCCCAAAGTGCTGGGATTACAAGCGTGAGCCATCTCGCCCAGCTGACACCAATTCTTTTAAAGGAATAAACACCTTTACCAGTATAGAAGCTTATTTAACTGTGTACTGGAGATAAATCTCTAGGTAATTTTCTTCCTATGTGTAGATGCCTCATCAATTTTAGTGCTATCTGCTATTCTCTTCCAAGATTCTTAAATATTTTGATATAATTTCTTTTGCAGTGGCCGAGTGTGGTGGCTCACGCCTGTAATCCCGGCACTTTGGGAGGCCGAGGTGGGAGGATTACAAGGTCAGGAGTCTGAGACCAGCCTGGCCAAGATGGTGAAACCCTGCCTCTACTAAAAAATACAAAAATTAGCCAGGCTCAGTGGCGGGCACCTGTAATGTCAGCTACTCAGGAGGCTGAGGCAGGAGAATTGCTTGAACCCGGGAAGGTGGGGGCAGAGGTTGCAGTGAGCTGAGATGAGATCGAACCATTGCACTCCAGCCTGGGCAACATAGTGAGACTCTGTCCCCCAAAAAAATGGAAAGAAAAAAAAAATTCTTTTGCAGTATGTTCTGCTATTGTTGTTGCACTGTATCATGTATGTAAACATTTGCTTGTATCTTCTCTATTTTTCTCTTTTAACTCTATTGTTCCCCTCCCTATCAGATAAAGGCCTATTTTTTTGTTTGTTTTGAGACAGGGTCTTGTTCTGTCACCCAGGCTGGAGTGCAGTGATGCAATCTCAGCTCATTGCAACCTTCAACTTCTGGGCTCAAGGCATCCTCCCACCTCACCCTACCAGTTAACAGGGATTGCACACCACCACACTGGCTCCTGTTTTTTGTATTTTTTTGTAAAGATGGGGTTTTGCCACATTGGTCAGGCTAGCCTCTAACCACTGGCCTCAAGTGATCCCTGCCTGGGCCTCTCAAAGTGCTGGGATTACAGGCATGAGCCACTGCACCTGTCCCATGCCCAATCTTTATGTATTGTCTATGGCTACTTTGGCACATTTGGCACCACAATGTGAGCTGAGTAGCTGTGACAGAGACTATAAGTCCCACAAAGCCTAAAATATTTACTATTTGGCTGTTTACACAAAAAGTTTGCTAATATTTGGTCTAGAAAAACTAGCAAAACCATAAGTCAAGCCCTGACTTGTTGCATTTGCCAATTTCCATGGTGTAAATACTCCCATTAGAGCCAATTTCATACTACTAATGTGACATTTCTGAGTAGAGTTGGGAAGAGATGGATACAACATACGTAGTATTTCCACATGGGAATAAAATGAACAAATAACTCCCGCCTCAGCCTCCTAAGTAGCTGGGACTACAGGCCCATGCCACCATGCCTGGCTAATTTCAAATTAGAATGAAGAAAAAAACCACAAAGGGATGAGTTTTTAGTATTACATTTTAAAAAATTATTTTTGCCAGGTGCAGTGTCTCACGCCTGTAATCCCAGCACTTTGGGAGGCCAATGCGGGCAGATCACGAGGTCAGGAGTTTGAGACCAGCACGGCCAACATGGTAAAACCCCATCTCTACTAAAAATACAAAAATTAGCCAGGTGTGGTGGCAAGTGCCTGTAATCCCAGTTACTCAGGAGGCTGAGGTAGCAGAATCACTTGAACTCAGTAGGCAGGGGTTGCAGAGAGCTGGGATCACCCCATTGCACTCCAGCCTTGGCGACAGAGCAAGATAATGTCTCAAAAAAAATTTATTTTTTAGAAATAGGGTCTCACTCTGTTGCCCAGGCTGGAGTAGAGTGGTGCGATCATAGCTCACTGCAACCTCAAACTTCTAGCCTCAAGCCATCTTCCTGCCGTGGCCTCCCAAAGCACTGAGATTATAAACATGACTCAACACAACTGGTTGTCATTCGCCTTTGTCAAACCGTTGCCAGGATTAATGTACAATTACATTTTTAACTTAATTGTAGCTTATATAATTTGATTTTTAATAAGGGTTGCGCTTATGAACTGGCTCATAAAATTCCTGAAAATTTAGCAATCAACCTTGCAAACTGGCAAAAGCCAGCTGCAGTGTATATGCTAGCTCTATCTTCAAAAGGAGGCTTTGGGAAGGCAAGTAATTTGCATCCACTAAAGCACAGAGCTAAAAAAAATATTGGGGGAAGGGGAGACATCTATTGAGGGAATGCCACACGCAGGGTAACGTATTTTCTGGAGTACTAGCCTACATTGATATTGTATGCTCTTTAACATTCCCATGTTGCCTGCCACTTTTGCTGGAATCTTGATACTTGATACTGTTAATGTAAAATAAGTGGCAGGCCATTAGTTTGGAGTTCTTTTTGTGCCCAGAAAGCAACCCAAAATTTGGAGGTATTCCTTGTACCTGATTTTTTTTTTTTTTTTTTTTTTTTTTTTAATATGGAGTTTCGCTCTCATTACCCAGGCTGGAATGCAATGGCGCGATCTCGGCTCACCGCAACCTCCGCCTCCTGGGTTCAGGCAATTCTCCTGCCTCAGCCTCCTGAGTAGCTGGGATTACAGGCACGCACCACCATGCCCAGCTGATATTTTGTATTTTTAGTAGAGACGGGGTTTCACCATGTTGACCAGGATGGTCTCGATCTCTTGACCTCGTGATCCACCCGCCCTGGCCTCCCAAAGTGCTGAGATCACAGGCGTGAGCCACCGCGCAAAAAATATTTATTTATGAGACGGAATCTTGCTCTGTCACCGAGGCTGGAGTGCATTGGCACGATCTCAGCTCATTGCACCCTCCGCCTCCTGGGTTCAAGCCATTCTTCTGCCTCAGCCTCCCCAGTACCTGGGATTACAGCCGCGCACCGCCACGCTCAGCTAATTTTTGTATTTTTAGTAGAGACAGGGTTTCACCATATTAACCAGGCTGGTCTCAAACTCCTGACCTCGTGATATGCCTGCCTTGGCCTCCCAAAGTGCCGGGATTACAGGTGTGAGCCACCGCGCCTGGCCCCTTGCACCTGATTTTGAATGGAGCTGCAACGAATCACAAACAGACAACCAGCCAAGTGGTTATATAATTAGGGATCTCCCATGTAACCATACCCAAATGAGGCAAACACTTAGCTGTAGCCAACCAAATTTCTTTACTTTCGTGTTCAGCCTATAAAGCTTGATGCCTAGGCAGCTAGAGCAGTAGTGCCTGAGCCGCTTCTGGTTTTGGCTGCTGTCTGATTCAAAATCTGTTTTGTCTAAAGTTTTTCTTTCTACAATACCTATCCAGAAATCAGTCTAGGGGATATTTGAAGGAAGAAGGGAATAACTGGCTGCATATTCAACATCTGTTGGAAATCTCTCTTCTCCTTACACATTTTCATTAACTTCTTTAGAAAATGCAAAAACAAGCGTTTTCCCACAAGCAGCCCCTTCCAATACGCATCAAGCTGCATGAATTCCGAAAGCTTCAAAAATTTTTGTTCTGAAACCCTACTCTGCTTGAGATACAGGAAAGAAGGACAGTATCAAAAAGCATCATGCACTTGGCACAGAACTGGGACAAGAACTTGGGGGCAGGATGGCCAAGTGCTAGGGCTCTTGACGGTCTCCAAACCATTCCGCACGGTTCCTACTCTGATTGGAGAAGTAAAAACAGCTGTTGGAGAACTTGGACGTCATCCGCCCTTGTCAAACTGCTGCCAGAATTAATGTATAGCTCTTTCCACTACACCACACAGTCTCCTCTAAAACATGCTCCCTGCACAGAACTTACCCCCAAAGCACCAGGAACCTAGCTGGCCTACAGTTGAGCTTAGGAAAAATCTGAGTGGCTCGAGAGTCAAGCTGCGGTAACTTTGAGTCACAGGAGTTAAGACCAAAGTAGAGCCGCACTGAGCACCACGTCGTGCAGGTGCGTGTCTTCTTCAGAGAGAGGCGTGCCGAGGCGGACGAGGCCCGGCGTAGCAGCCAGCCTCTCCCAACGACAGCGCCCCTTGCTGCCACAGCTACCAGAGCAGACGCGAGGGCCGGGCACGCAGCCGGTGGCGCGCACGCTCAGCCCGAGGCCGCACGGGAGGCGGGCTGGCGTGCACGCCCCCGCGGCGGTGGGCGGGGTCCGGGGCGGGGTTGCAGGAGCAGTAGGTGTAGTAGCTTGGTCGCGACAGGTGCGCTAGGTAGAGCGCCGGGACCTGTGGCAGGGGTGGAGCAGCGCAGAGGAAAGGCGGCTTTTAGCCAGGTAAGGGCCTTCTTTCTCCACAACCGGAGAGTGCGCCGAGACCCCAGCTTCTCTCCACACCCTCTTTCTCCTGCGACTTCTGGGGCGGGGAAGTGCGCGGAGTGTGAGTCCCTTCCCCTCGGGTTAAGGGGTTGCGGGACGCTGACCCTCGGTTCTTTCCTCACTTTTGGGGCCTGCGCTGGGATGGGGAGTACTTACGTCGGGCTGAGCCTAGGGCGGGAGCCGTAAAGACCTCCTCTTCTCCCACTAGGAACACTCCATTCTAACTCTACTTTTTGGTGTCGTGGAGGAAGGTGACAGTTCATTAAAACTCCAAATATCCTTCTTCCAGGGAAATACTCTAATATTCAGCTGCTCTTTTTCGTTCATTTTAAGCCAGTCCCTCTCTTCGATTTTTCTCCCCTTCCACTACGCCAGCTAAACTCTGTTTAAGACACTTACACCCTTTTGAGGAATGTTGAGAATATAGCAGTCTTTGCAGCCGATGTGTCATCCCCGAATCGCTATCGTGTATATATCGCTGGCACCTGCCCCCGACATATGTAGGTGTTAATGTAAGGTAATTGTACACCACACCCCTGGCTACAGATACTAAAGCTTGAAGTTGTAGCTGCTGGGAACGAACCATCTGGCACCTTTCCTAGCCTCCTTATTGATGATTGCGAGAATGGTTTAGCTGATCCTGGTGAGAGATATTTGAACTACTATTGTCTTGCACCTAATTCCAGCTTTCAAAAGTCTGCCTTGGCCGGGCGTAGTGGCTCACACCTATAATCCCAACACTGGGAAACTGAGGCGGGAGGATCTCTTGGGCTAGGTGTTCAAGACCAGCCAAGGCAACTTAGCAAGACCTCTATCTCTCCAAAAAATACAAAAGGAAAAAAAAAAAAAGAAGAAGAAGGAAAGTCTGCTTAATCCAGATGGTTCAATTGACTTGACTTTTCAGGTTAGTCACAGGTACTACTTAGAGCGTTGTCAGTTTTTAAGGCAATGCCCCTTTTGGGGAGAGGTCTTCTTTTGCATTAAGTATTCTTTCTTTTGCTTTTGATTTAAATGATTTAACAGGCCGGGTGTGGTGGTTCACGCTTGTTACCCCAGCGCTTTGGGAGGCTGAGGCGGGCGGATCACAAGGTCAGGAGTTCGAGACCAGCCTGACCAACACAGTGAAACCCCATCTCTACTAAAAATACAAAAACTAGCTGCGTGTGGTGGAGGGCGCCTGTAATCCCAGCTGCTTGGGAGGCTGAGGCAGGAGAATCGCTTAAACCCCGGAGGCGGAGTTTGCAGTGAGCCGAGGTCACACCACTGCACTCTAGCCTGGGCACAGACCTAGACTCCGTCTCTAAATAAATAAATAAATAAATAAATATATGGTTTAACAGAGTACCGTTTATCTGCATAGTTAGCAGTACTATTCACAAATGCTAAATATTTCAGGAGCCATGAAATAACACCAACCCTTCTGAAGTATAGTGTAGACACAAAAGAACATAATCCCTAATAAACATGTTCTAAATTCTTGTAGAGTTATAGCCTGGATGCAGTATGATGATGTTTTAGATAGACCTTCAAAAAATTATAGAGTTGGCATGAAAGAAGGCAAAAAAAAAAAAAGTGTCTCTGCATATATGTTTTCTTGTTTTGCATTGATAGAACAACATGCAATGTACTAGGTAATTAGTTTAGGAACTTCATTCTTTGGACAAAATATTGAGTGCCTTTAGTGGATTCAAAGTGCCAAATGTCTTTATCCTAAAATAACTTAAAATCAAATGGGTTAGGCAGATCCCTATACAACTCATGGTATTAGTGAGGTCATTTCTATACTAGAGGTCAGCCCAGGGGTAGGAGCATAGGGAATAATAGGTTTTTTGTTTTTTGTTTTTTTTTTAATTCTCTCTTCTGCTTTTCCTTAAAAACAAAACAAAAACTTCTGAATAATAATGAGTGATTCTCTTCAATCTATGTATTTGTGTCACTTTCTTTTTTTCTTTTTTTTTCTTTCTGTGAGACGGAGTCTCTGTTGCCCAAGCTGGAGTGCAGTGGCACTATCTTGGCTCAATGTAACTTCAGCCTCTCAGGTTCAAGCAATTCTCCTGCCTCAGGCACCAACCGCCACGCCCAGCTAATTTTTGTATTTTTAGTAGAGATGGGTTTCACTGTGTTGGCCACGTTGGCCTCGAACTCCTGACCTGAAGTGATCCACCCGCCTCAGCCTCCCAAAGTACTGGGATTACAGGCGTGAGCCACCGTGCCTGGCCATATTTGTATCATGTTCGTATTTCTTACCCTGTCTTCCTCCAACTCCATGGCCTATGGAAAATGGGATTAGACCCTGTCCTTAATGTGGCATTTAGTAAATAGTTGGAGCCGTTTCCACTTTTCTGTATTGGGCTGGGAAGTGTTGTTATCAGGTTCCGTGGGAAGAGAACAGTATATTGGCAACATTAGCAAAGGAGTGCCATTTTGTAAAAATTACCTCATTGTATAACTTTGTTTAACTTGGTACACTCAAGCGTTGTTCCAGACTCTGGTTAAAGGTGGGGCTAAACTTCAACCTAATAATTCTAAGAGAAAGCTTCAGAAGCGAAGACAATTCACATCTTGGTGATAGGGGACACTTTTTACTGCTAAGGTGCTCTCAAAATGTTTTTCTCTTTCTTTTTTTCTTGGGCGGGGAAGACAGGGTAGATAGGTGGGTGGTGAAGAATGTTTTTAAGTATAAGTTTGACTACTGTTTTCTTTGGGTTTCAAATTCTTGTATTTTCTCTGGTATTTTTCACCAGTCAACTGCAATTAACTTAAAGCCCCTGTACCAAAAAAAATTTATCAAAGACATACACAGACACAAAAGCATATTGAGAGTGTGGGAGTTCGTTAGACATCTTTGCCATAACAGGCCACCTAACTGCAAATTGGAAGAATTTGTTATTATTTAAATTGACAGTGAAACTAGTTTCAGGCATTCTTAATTCCATATACTACTAGATGGGAGACTTTTAGATTAGAATTGTACCCTTTCTGCAGATAGGAAAATGCGTGACTTGAGTCCTAATTCAGTAATTTCCATTAGAAAGACAATTGTTTTTTCAGTTTGCTGTTGTCTTTCACTGTATGTTTTTTGATAGGAAATTAAGGTACTTCATTTTAGATTGCATACAGTAATTTCCAGGTGAGGTTACTTAACAGCCTTTTAAGGTTATTGACAAACCAGTGCTTGTAAATGAAATAGTTTCTACTTAATGATTGTGGAGTTGATTCTATGGTGAATGGTACACTTGGTAGGATCATACTGATGCATTTATTCTGAAGCTGGGAGCAGAGTCCTTAAGACTCAATCAAATTATTGTGCTAATGAAGACCTATTTTTATAAAAAAGATGGAGTTTGACCCAACAAGCAATCCATTATTTAGCATGTCAGATGATTTCTTGACATGTAAAAACTGTTTCTAGAGACTTTACATGTCCACCCATAAGAAGTTAACATGACACTGTGAAAATTTTATATTCTTTTGATTTTCTTTTAAAGAGTTTCTTAATAATACTACCCTGAAACTAAGAACTTTCATCTCTAAGGGAAAAAAAGATGCAACATTTTTGTACTTCTAATAACAAGTGTGGGGCTATTTTCCCCCTTATTTATTCTGTAACAGAGCTTATGATATAGAAAACTTTACAATCCTTCAAACATGTTTTGTCTTGTACAGAGTATTGCCACTTTTTGTTTCGTTACCCATAAATTAGTTCTAATATGCATTTTACTTAGTTTTAGATTTCCACAATCTTTTTTCTTTTTCCATAAACTGAAATTCAGGCTAATGCTCCAGGACTTCTTTATTTCATAGTCAGGTTTACTGAACAGTTATCATTTGCTCAGATTTGGCTTCTGAGCAAAAATTTGGCTTCCAGCATTACAGGAAACCTGTCCATCCATGCATAGTATCCGTGGCTTCTCTCTAATGCCCCTCAGTGTCCTCCTCTTTACCCCTTGGCAATAATTGACCAATTGAACAACTTGTCTAGTCCTTCCTTTTACTTGCTTTTCTTGACATGACTGCTATCTGGTTCTCCATTTTCTGATCTAACCACTTACTCCCATACTCTATTAACTCAGTCTTTTTGCCCCTTAAATGCCAGGTTTGCCATAGCCCTGTACAGCATCCTGTTGTCACTATACTTTCTCCCTGTATAATTTGATTTCTCTCCATGACTTCCACTATCATCTCCATGTAAGTGGCCTGAAAATTTATCTTTTTAAAAAACTTTTTTCATATTGTATGTATAATTCTTGTTTTATTTTCATATGTACCAACACATTTAAAAATAAAAATTATATTTATATTACTATAAAATAAAAAGTATATATGTTCATTATAGAAAATGTGGATAAAACAAATTACAAAGAACACAAAATAACCCATATTCCATAATCTGTTCCAGAGAGATCTACTGTTTGATATATTTCCTTTCAGTGTTTTTATTTTCTTTGATATACACACATATATACACACACACATCACACAAACGCAAAAGTAATTCAGCTCGTAATGTTGCAGTAGATATAGTTTTGTATCAGCTTTGTTCACTTTATATTATTTTTCATAGCATCAAAATTTTTTGAAAACATTTTAATGGATATTTAATCTCCATTGTAATTTATTTAATAATTTATTGTATTGAGGTTGCATAATTTCTGTTTTGGTTTCACATTAAATGAAAAAATTGAGAACAAATATATACATAAATCTTTGTGCAAATCACTCATTATTTC